ATTCCCTCAAAAGGTTTTAGAAAATATTGAAAAAACCACTTTTGAAATCATCAAGAACTCATGAGCCAAAATCAAGTTCAATACTACAAGAGGAAGTTCCAAAATCAACATAAACTTGCAAAAATGTATATATAACTCTAAGAAAATTCCTACCTCAAACTTGGAAGAGGAAGGAAATAAAACCCTAAAAATGGATGTTGATAAAAAGTCGATCGGTGAGAACGTAGCCTTCAGCGCCCTCTTCGATTCGATGTAAGAAGCCCTCTCAAATTCTTAGTAGATCTTGCTAAATCTTAGAGAAAAGATTGAAATTTGGTGGGTTTGTAGAGAGAAAGGGTAGCAAAGATGGATATACACACATATATATATATAGGGCAAATTACATATACACCCCTCGAGGTTTGGCTAAATTACAGATGCCCCCCTGAGGTTTGAGAAATTACGAATTTCCCCCTGAATGCTATATTTGCATAAGAAATTAGGGGGTAATTTGTTATGAAATATAAACCTCAGGGGGCAAATTGTTATGAAAATACAAACCTCAGGGAGCGGGATGTAATTTCCGAAACCTCAGGGGGGTATCTGTAATTTACCCAAACCTCGAGGGGTATATATGTAATTTGCCCATATATATATATATATATATAGAGAGAGAGAGAGAGAGAAAGCTAGCTGAAAAAGTGATCAAAATACCCTTTTGGCTTCAGTTTTGAGAGAAAGGAGTACAAAATTCAAGACTGGCGCTTCAAAATTCACACGTGCGGTTCCAAATCCGCACAAGCGGTTTGGTGTTGCTCTTCATGAGCGGAATGGTCTAGAGACGGCACAAAAAATTCACCCAAATCTACTCAAGTGGTTCCTGATTCCGCACGAGCGGGAATTTTACCCATAAAACCCCCTTCACTGAGTGGTTCTGCTCGAGTGGTTCCACCAACCCATACGAGCAATTTTGCCAGGCAGCCCAGAAAAAGATTTTACACTCTAAGGCAAGTTCTAACCCCCAAAACTCAAAATTTTCAACTCGAAAACATTAAAAAAGTTTAAGTAAGAGTAAAAAGAAATTCCAACGACTCAAAACGATGAATGAAACACCAAAAGAAGTACATAGTACTCCACTACACAACTATTTAAACCCAAAACCCAGGACATCACATTTTTTTAGCATAATTAAATATTTTGAGTGACAAATTAAATTGATTTTTTTTTTTAAAGAAAAAAGGTAAAGAAAATAGAGATATCAAATTTCAAGAAATTACTTAAATTAAAAGGATTATATTGAAATATATATTTTATTAGAGGCATAAGTATAATTTCTCAAAAGTTAAGGGGGGCACATGACCTCGCTGGGCCTCACATGTCTCCGCCCTTGCTTGAGGCTTGTTGAATATAATATTCATTGAAATCTAATCTGAATAACAAAAATTGCAACTAAACACACCCCTTGGCTTTGTTTCATATTTTAACATAATTGAGATATATGATGATTTTGTCTGGCCTTTGGTGTTTTCTTGATGTAATTTGTTTACATTCTTTGTACTTTTATTTTACATCAATAAATTTTTATTTTGTCGATAAAAAAATAAAATAATGTGAGTCTGATAAATTAATAATCTTAATCTTATACTAAAATCTCAAGCTTTTTACATCCAAAAAAAAAAAAAAAAAATTCCTTTATTGATAAAAAAACACATTTAATAAATCTAATTCATATATTTATATTAAGCAGAGTTTTCTCAGGCACCTTCCAATATATATTGGTGATTTGTATTAAAGGGCCGCTGCATATCACTTAATTTTTGTTATTATTTTATATGATTAGGTACTTATTTTATTAATTTTTTAATAATTATCTAAATAAAAAAATAATTATAAATATTCAGCTAAGCAATAATGCAAAATGATAGTAATAAAAAATCTAATCACATATAATATTTCTCTTTGTATTATCAACTTTCATCCCACATGGTCTTGATATTCTAAGTTCAAGACAGCACAGTAATGGAGTTTTGGATAAATTTGATAGCAATTTGGATTATATTTTTTTCAGTTTGTTTTCGTTTAATTTTTAATTTGTTGATATAATAATTTTTCTTGTATAAAGATTTGTTTCAAGACATTTTCTCCTCCAGTATAAAGGCTTAGATCTTTCTTGTTATCAAGGTTATTTATTTATTTTTTTGAAATAGATTTTCTTCTCAATTTAAAAAAAAAGAAAATATTTAAGATTCGCAAAAAAAAAGTCTCACAGTTATGCCTACAATGATATAAAATTACATGTATAAATTTTTAATTTATTATATATCTAATAGTGCCTCTATTTGGGAAGTTGAGGTTATGGTTTTTTTTGGTTAAAATAGTAAAAAAATAAATAAAATAAGTTTTTTAGTCTAATAAGATAAAATATCACATCTAACCTACAATCATTATATTATTTCTCTTATAAAAAGTCAAAAAATCCTTTCCAAACAAGACTTTTAAATCCCAAACTACAAAAACCAAAAAATCAAAAAAGCCAAACCATTTTCCAAACCAACCCAGTATAGGATTCCACCCTCTTACCCTGCCATTATAGATGAATTTATTAATTAAAAGGGCAAGTCTCTAACATTATTTTCAAAATAAATAAATAATATAAAAAGGTGGGAGCTTACCTTCCGTCCATCATTTGAATTGGAAGGTCCAATCCAACCTACTAGGTTCACTTTTGAATCTTTTTTCGATAATCTAAATCGTTCATATTTTGAGATTTATTGAGTACATTATCCCTGTAAAAAATCACATTGATTGGATAACGGATACTATATATTCGGATCACTTTTTTTTATGTACTATTAATTTGTTGACCGTTTATTTTTTTACACAAAAGTAATCCGAATATATAATATTCATTATTTGATCAATATAATTTTTTACAAGAATAATATAATCAACAAAATTTAAAATGTGAACGATTTTGATTATGAAAAAAAAAATTCAAAAGTAAACTCAATAGATCGAACTAAACTGAAGTGTCTCATATCTGAACTGTACACAATCCTGTCCCATATAAAAAACACTCATCCCACCCACATTGCAGAGAGGGTCCTAATCACACTGCAATGTGTGCGACAGTATTGTGGCCCCAGGACCCCTCACCTAATCCCTCCAATCCAATCGCCAGACAGGCCTTCACGGACTGCACCCTATGCATCTCTCTCTTCTGTCTCTCTCTCTCCAAAATAAAATTATAACATAATCATTTTTACCTGATGAATGACTGTAAAGGCAATACACTTTTCACTTGCACCTTTTCTTGTAGAGAGATCAAGCTTCCTGATTTGTTTATAGTACTGTTCTCTTTCTACATTTGCTTTTCAATTTTTCTTTTAAAATTATAAATACATTTTTTAAAATTTATTTAAAATATAAATTACTTTTTTAATTTAAAAATTTATAAATATTTCTTTATTAAAATTTTTTATGTAATAAATTTTATAACTTTTCTTCTATATAATAATAAAATTACCTAAATTATTAATTAAAATAAATTTATCACTTTATTAAAAACTATCAATTGAATTAATGATTTATTAATAAAAGAGATTATTTTTTATAAAATTTGAAACTTCAAACGGTAAAATGTAACTTTCAGAATCATAAGAAATAATCTGTATTAGCAAATCTCAAGAGTGTATTTGTAATTTACTTTTTTTTTTTTTTTTTTCATTTTTCAAGAACAATACCGGATTGTCTCCTGATCCACCCACCAACAATACTCGTTTGGGAAGTACATATTTTAATTGATTTTTTTTTCATTTTTTACGAAAAAAATATAGAAAAGTATAAAGTGATGTCATGATTTATAATGATTTAAAAAAAAAAAAAAGCTTTTTAGTTATGTTAGCCAAATACCAAGCAAATCAATGTTACTTATTTAGATTTTTATTAATGTGTGTTTTAAAAGTGCATGTTAAGAAATTTTTTGAACATTATATATTTTTTAGTATACTTATTTTTATTTATGATATAATTTTTAAAATTTTTGATATATAGGCAAAGACACACATCACCTAAATTCATTTATTTTATTATTCTTTATTTATCTTTTTATGTGTTATTATGGTTAGATTCATTAAATCAATGCAATTATAATATATAAAATAACTATAATACTATAAATTTAGAAATTTTATCTCAAATTTTATCCAGAATCATTAATTAATTACTCAAATTCATTTTATACTAGAACCCACACTTTACTAATCCTCTCTCCACTACACAAATATATTACCCAGAATATATGAAATGATAAATTTGCATCCATAGCATTTCTGATCAAATAATAAATTAATAGTCATTCTAACGTTATTGAATTCACAACCCATGAAAATGCACATACAATCTGGGTTGGTGTAAACATATCAAAATTTTGCAGTTTTTAATATTGATATTTATTAATATATCTATGAATGTTATTTATTATCAATTGAGATGTAACTGTATTTAGTGTTAGTTGTGTATTTTAATTTAAAAATTAGACTCAGGCTTCGTTTGGCAAGAGGCTATTTTAGCCAATTAGCCAAAAAGTTACTAAATTAGCCAAAAAGTTAACAACCCATACAAAAAAGTCAAAGATTCTCTTTTCTCTCTACTTTTTGCACATCTTTTCGTAATTAGCCAAAAAGTCATCCCAAACATACAAGTTTTTTTTACCTACCTTTTTAGCCAAATAGCCAAAAAGTTACTAAATTAGCCTGTTCCCAAACGAGGCCTCAGTTTTTAAATTTGATGATCAACCAACCGCTTTAATGTGTTATTTTCTTTTTTTGAATGTCTTTTTTAATTATCAACCAATTATCTCTCTTTCATTAGAAAAAAAAAAAAACAAAAAAAAACAAAACAAAATCATCTCACTTTCACATGCAGAATGCACCATTGCAGCTCAATACTATCTTAGTGAATTACACTTTTACTATATAAAAGATAGAAATAGCTAGTTAGATATACATGTAGAGAGAGAGAGAGAGAGAGAGAGAGAGAGAGTGGTCCATCTGAGTCTATCGCTGACCGACTTCTGAGAGAAGCCGTGCAAGATAAGGAATATATGAGAACGAAAGAGAGAGAATTCTACACTTTCAGCCTTCATGTTATTTTCTAGTTTTTGCTTCCAAGTTTCAAACTAGGAGTTCAAGATCTCTTCAATAAGTACTGAGGAGACGAGTTTTAGAGAGTTGAAACCACGATTCTCTTGAGTTAATTTTCTCTTTTGTTTTCTGGGAAAGTGTAAGATAAATCTAGCAATAGATTTATCAGCTATCGGCATATCTTGTTTTTTTCTTTGTTTTTGGCCGGTACTGTCTCAGCTTTTTGAGCTTTTATTCTTCTGGTTTAACTAGTTTTGGACACATACCACACATTTATTACTCCAAATTCACTTACAGAATGATGTCTGATTATGGAATCTCTCCAATTCTACCTATAATCCATGGGTTTTCCCAAGAACCAAACACAAACCCTAACCCTAATCTTAGTACAAATCAAGCTAAGAGGAAGAGAAACCTACCAGGAACACCAGGCAAGTATATTAAGCTTCAATTCAACTTCATACTTCAAATTCAAATGATTTCTTTTCTTTTCTTTTCTTTTTTCTCTTTTTTGAATTATTTTCTTGATGGGTTTTTTGTTTTATAAAACACTAGATCCAGATGCAGAAGTGATAGCTCTCTCACCAAAGTCTCTCATGGCGACAAATCGATTCGTATGCGAAATCTGCAACAAAGGTTTTCAGAGGGACCAGAACTTGCAGCTTCACAGAAGAGGTCACAATCTTCCATGGAAGCTCAAGCAACGATCCAACAAAGAGGTGATAAGAAAGAAAGTATACATATGTCCCGAAAAGAACTGCGTACACCACGATCCGTCGAGAGCCCTAGGCGATCTCACCGGTATTAAGAAGCATTTCAGTAGAAAACATGGTGAGAAGAAGTGGAAGTGTGAGAAGTGCTCGAAAAAATACGCCGTTCAATCGGATTGGAAGGCTCATAGCAAAATTTGTGGGACTAAAGAGTACAAATGTGATTGTGGAACAATCTTCTCTAGGTACTGTACCAATTATATAACACATCTCTATCTATCTTAGTTCATATGATTAGTTTGTTGAAGAAATAAATGCACATCTAGATTTAGGATGATACGGTCAAAAACCTGTCAATATATCAAATACGAGCAATATTAGGTATCATGAAAAATTTTTCATGAAAATGATCATAAAAGATTTATGACCTTTGAATTACACTTAAAATAAAACACTACACACTAATCAAGGTAATCCAAATATCATAATTCTTTCATGATCTTTTTCATAAAATTTTTTTCGTAATCCCTAACTTTTCTCTATCATATAGTATTTGCTAATATTAATATCAGAATTGTGCTATCATGGGTTTGAATGGAATTTAATGGGGTATGAAAAAAAGGCTTGTATTTCTGTACATAGTTAATATATATTTTGAGAATTTTATTTATTATTATTATTATCATTTATTTTTATTTTTTTTGTATATTAAACAGGAAGGATAGTTTCATCACCCACAGGGCATTTTGTGATGCTTTAGCTGAAGAAAGTACAAGGTTCATTTCTATTCCAACACCAACAAATTTTAACTTCAGAGCTGATGAATTGATGAACGGAACAATTGGTAATCTTCAAGCTGCCGGGGTTTCCGGAAACCCCCAATTTCCGTCGGTGTTCCGGCCAGATCTTGTTGGGTTGGAGACTGGCCAGCTCAACATGGATGGGCACAAACCAAGATTACCACTGTGGTTAGACCATGGCAATTCACATCCCAACAACCCTATTGGAATGCCAAGTAATTCAATGGGCTTGCCTGAAGTGGTGCAAACAGCACAGTGGCTCAATCGGAGCCAAGAATCACCATTTTCCGGTGGAAATCTCTCTCAGTTGGCGGCATTGGGACTGGTACTAAAAGAGGAACAAGAGAATAATGGAAACTTGTCTGAAACTGTGAGTAATTCTACTTCGTATTACAACAATCACAATCAGACTCAGAATCAGATTCAGCAAGAAGCCCCGGCTCACATGTCGGCGACGGCCTTGTTGCAGAAAGCAGCTCAAATGGGATCAACAAGAAACTCCTCATTGTTCAACAACCGCTTTGGACTGGTGAGCTCATCATCATCACCATCTCTCTCCAATGTTGCTTCTTTTAACCAGATGATGATGATGAGGCAACAAAACCTAGCTGAGAACTTGAATGGCTTCATGAATACTAGTACTGGTGGTGGTGGTGGAGATGGGTTGCTGTTGTTGGGTGATAATATGAACTCATCAAGCTCAGCGATGGAGGCTAATAACACAAGGAATTTGATTATGGTGAGCAAACCCAGTTGTAATGAAGCTGAAGGAAGCATGACTAGAGATTTTCTTGGTGTCGGAGGTGGAGGTGGCGGTGGCGGTGGCGGGGCTCTGCTGCGACGAGAGATAGCCAAGTTTGGCTCAATGGGTGCAGTAATGGACTTGAGCCAACAGTACAGGAGTGGCAGTCACTGAGTGAGTGCTCCAAAAAAGATGGTAAGTCTCTTTTTCGTACACCATAGATTTCAAGGTTAGTCTCTCTATGATATGTAGCTCATACAGTGGGGGTGCAGTAGTAGATTAGGTGAGACAGAGAGAGAGATAGAGATCTTGTGACTTCTCAGACATGGAGGGCCATTGCACTGACTAAACAAAAAAACGAATTTGGCAATCACGATTCACAAGGCGGGCGTTCTTGTTCTCACTCTCTCCATGTGGAATTTTTTTTTTTTTTTTTTCAAACAAAATGTTTTGTACCTATAAAAAAAAGTATATGTAAATTTTAAATGTTAAATTTAATATTGTGTGAGTCATACATTTAGGATTTTTTTAATTTTTTTAATGATTTACTCTATAACTTTTTCATTTATTATAAAAAGATATGTAAAAAATAAATAAATAAGTGATACGATACCCAATAAAAAAAAAACTAATAAACCAATAAATAATTTATTTGAGATGTCTCCCAAAGAAGTCTTAGTATAAATCTTGTTGATACATCTTAAATTATTATTTTCCTCCTTTTTTTCCCCTCTTTGCATGCATTATTGATTTACACAATAACTCATCATATTTGTGTTCTTCTATCTTCTCCTACCCAATAATTATGGTAGCTTCTATCTATAAGGAGTAAATTTCTATCATATTACTTATATATTATGTAGAAGGTCATGTATAGATGAATATAGTAAGATATTTTTTATGTGTACGTAGAATCGGTCAATAATTTTTCCTCTTCTAGGGGTTTGATTGGAACTTGGAAGACTATTGGCGTCACCTCCAATCTTGGTCACAGCTCAAGTATTGGACTTTGGCTTGGAAAATAAGGGTTTGGTTTTCCCCTCTTCTACGGGTATGCTTAGAAGACTTTGGTGTTGCTAGTCTACTAGAACTATTGGTAGAATTTATATCAACCGCTTATAATGTATTTTATTTTAAGAGTTTGTGATAGATTGTTTGCTTTAATTTATGTTTACAGTTTATTAGATAGAAATAATTTAAATAAGTTAAAAAAATTTATTATTAATTTTTAAGTTACAATAAACTGAACCAAACAGACTCTATCTATTTTTACCTACAGGAAATCTATTCAGTATGTTATGTTTTTTTGGTATATGTTACATATTTTTGTGACAAATGTTACGTAACATTTAATAGAGTAACAATATTTTCTGATTTAGAAATGAAATTACGTATTTGTATCATAATGTTATGCATTTTTATGATAATATAATACACTTTTAAACCACAAAATATGTAACATTACTATAAAAATGTCTAATTTGATTTTTAAACTACAAATTGTCACAGCTCTACTAAAAAATTATAAAATATTTATCACAAAATATATAATATTAAAAAAAGAGTTAATTACCTAAAAGTTTTATTTACAAATGTTTTGGTAGCTTAGGTCTTATTTAAGATTTTTTGAACCAATATGTCCTATTTAGTAAAATTGAGAATATCATCAGTTTTTTCTAATTTTTATAATTAAGAACATTATCAATTTTGCATAGTAATATTTCAGATAATTATTTCACTAACTGATAAAAAAAATAGAGCATGAAATTAAACTTTTTTACCCTTCTAGTTATTGATTTGATTCAACTATCCAATAAAATCGATAATATTAATAGTTTTTTCCAATCTTAAAACTGATGATATTAATAGTTTTTCATTTTTTTTTTCAGTTTTGCAAATAAATGTTTCATCATCATGCTCCTTTAGATACAAAATTTTTAGTTTCGCAAAAAAAGAATACAGTTTTTCAATATTTTCAAAAAAAAAAATTTCACATAAATTTTTTTTTAAAAAAAATTTCAATTTGAAAGTTAATATTTTAAAGTTTTAAAAATCAAAATAAATGTCAAATCATCATATTTTTTATAGATAATTATAAATGATGAACCATCATTGTTTGAAAGATAATCCCAATTATTAAAAATTTAATGCGATTTGAAGGTCTAAAAAATCTTAATTAAAACTTAGGAGTTGTTTGGGGTGTCCTAAATAAGTGCACTTTTTGTCTTTTTGGACTAAAAAATTGAGGAAGAAAATATAGATGTTTGGGTTAACTTTTTTAGGTTAACTTTTTGACTTTTTATGGAAAAATGTGTATTAAAAATTATATAAATTAGTGTGCAGGGAAAAATTAGGATTAGGAGTTGTGCAGCCGTAATTGTTGACTTTTGGTGAATAATATTAACCTTTTAACTTTTTGAGTAATTTTTTAACTTTTTAACTTTTTTGTAATATGCCAAACTTATGAAATATAAATTTATAAATTGAAACGTATGACCCAAATGGTTCACCTTTTCTACACAGTCCATTTGCATATGATAAGGACGGGTTTCATTTCATTCCAAATGACTGACTGGAGTCAGAACAACTAGTCTATTTATTCTTATTCCAAATTCTACGTTCGATGATGATATCGAAGGCGGTGGCGGTGAAGCTTAAGAGACTAGGTTTAAGTTGATTTCTACCCTAAGCTTTCCTGCAGTCTATTAAATCGGCTGGAGTGTTTCGAGTCTATTTCGGCATTGGAACTATTTATGTGGTAAGATTCGTTAAATAAATTATTAATAGATAAAATTAAATTGATTAAAGGGTGAATTAAATTAACGGTCCTTATAGTTTGGATTTTCTGTCACTTTGATTATTGACTTTTTAATTGTAACACATTTTATCTTGAATTTTAAATCTTATTTCAAATAAAGACAATTGAAGATGTCATTGTTCAATTTCAAGAACAAAGTCGTCAATTTGATAAAATATAAATTAATTTGATAAAAATATGTCAAAAAAATATTTTTGCATTTTAAAAATTATTTCTACGTACTAAAGATAAAATCATGTAACATTAATAAATTTTTTAGACATTTAATTTTTTGTTACCAAAATAATTTTATTATGTGTTTGGATGATGATCATATAATGGATGGTTATTTTTATTTTCATTAAATTAGTTTTATTTTTTCAAAAATCAAATATGACGATAATTTTGATATCATTATTAAACCAATCAATTGGTTGTTTGGTTGCTGCCGCATGGGCTGCTACTGCATGGGTTGCATTGCTATTCTATTTTTTCTTGCTTTGGTTGGTTTTGATTGGTTTATCTCCAATCTTGGGTCTAATGCTAGCAAATGATCATGCTTCCTTTGCGGTGCCAAATTAATTGGGATTGTTAAGGTTAATTATGATGCTCAATGTATTTTTTCCTAATTTGTTGATGTAAATTTTGTATGTATTGTGCCTTTTCATCAATAAAGTTTTTTTTGCTGATCAAAAAAATTATTAAACCAATTTATTAAATTAAAAAATTCAAAACTAAAAATATTTCATATATTAAATATATCGATTACACATTAAAAGTCTAACAATCACCCATTACATGATTATCATTCAAACACATAATAAAAATTGATTTGGTAAAAAAAATAATAAATGTCTAAAAGATTTATCAATTTTACATAATTTTATCTTTGGTGGGTAGAATTTATTTTTAAAAATTCAAAAATATTTTGGTGACATTTATTTATGTCAAATTAATTTATATTTTATCAAATTAACCACTTTGCCCTTGAAATTAAACAATGTCATATTCAATTGTCCTTATTTGGAACAAGATTCAAAATTCAAGGTCAAATGTGTCACAATTAAATTTTTTTTTTTTTTTTGTGAATAGACAATTAAAAAGTTAAGGACCAAAGTGACACAAAACTCAAACTATAGAGACTGTTAGTGTAATTTACTCTTTGATCAAACATGATGTGCCTCGTCCATTATCGTCTTCACCTTAAAATTGTTTTACCCAACATTGAATCCACAACGATGAGTCACTCTGGAACTCACCAAAGCTTCAGGCCTAAAGCCTCGTTTGGGAATAGGCTATTTTAGTATTTTTTTTTTTGCTTTTTGGCTCAAATATGAGATAAAAAAAACTAATATTTTGACGCCCCAAATTTCTTTTTTTGGAATACCATAAAATTTAAATAATAAATAACTTGCTAAATAAAATTTTAATAGCTAATTAGAGAAATTTAAATTCTCACATAGTCAAAGTTTAACAAAAAAATAAAATTACGAGTTCACATACAATATTACAACAGCATTATAACATTCTTAATTACTTATTTAAAGATAATAAAATTTTATTTTGCTATATTCTTGATTTCAAGTTAGCCACGGTTTTATATTAGCAGCGGCCCCAATTTCGGCTTTAGTCCCTTCCTTGCCATAATCTAGCATAAAACGCCAGGGCAACAAAATACATGCCACGAGTTTTACAATACAATAAGAAAACATAACTAACCTAACATTCTTTTTAAGAGAAAATAATCAAATAATAATCATGACAATTAAGAGAAAATGACGGAATTAATAGCATGATGATATAACAACAATTTAAAATAATTTCAACAAATTTTATTAGTTTAGGTGACACTCAAAATCTTACCAAAGAGATTTTCTTACCAACTACTAAATCATGGTCACGGTTAATTTGGAAACCCCCCCTTGGTCAAATATTTAAGAATTACCAAGGATGCCCACACCTAGAGTTATATACCCAAACCGTAGGTCATTCTATTTGCACACCACGCATTTTCTCACTATCCGCCATTTTTTAATTTTTTTTAATTGCTATTTTGTCCCTCAACAAAATTACCAAAGAGGACTTGACTACGATAGTCAACAACATCTACCAATTCATAACTCCTCTTCGTCACCTCTTCCACCTACCCTTCTCATTTCCCTTCGCAACCCCCAACTGCTGCAGGGTGAGTAAGAGAGAGAGAGAGAGAGAGAGAGAGAGAGAGAGAGAAATCACAAGGCAGCGCTACTGCAGCCTGACGACAACAACCCATCCTTACCCATTTGTAGCACCGCCGCCAACGAGGTCGTGATTGAGAGAGACAAAGATCGCAGATTGTGATCACGATTGTAAGAGAGAAGCAAAGGTAATAACTGACAAGGATAATGGTTGCAGTAATGGTGACAGCGACGGTGGTTAAGGCTTGTGGTTGGGGAAGATGAGGGTTTTGTATTAATTGATAGACAAGGAAGAGGTCACGAGGGTCTCCGAAGAAGAAGAATGAGGAAGAAGATGAGAAAACTGGGGAGGGGGACGACGATGTGAGTGATGGTAGTCGCCGTTGGTGGACGATCGGAGGAGGAAAGAGTTGGGTAAAGGGGTGACGACAGTTGCAGTGGAGGTAGTTAGGGGTGGGATTTGCTGGAGAAGATGAGGATAATTTGGTATTATTTGAAAATTAGTGGGGTGTGTTGAGACAAAATCAAAATATTCATGTTGTGTGATGTGTGAACTAAGCAAATGGTGTGTAATGAGGCAATCAGTGGTGTGTAAATAGAATCTCCCCCAAACCATGGCATCTGTGGTCTGCCCCAAGGGGAACGATCAACCAACGGTATGTAACCTCCCTGCGTGCCACCTGCACATCCACTCTTATCCCAAAACCAAATACCGATAAAGGTTCAAATAAGTCTCGTGCCATCTTAAGGTTTCACATCACAATTAACGTGAGAATTCTCAAAACCAAGACTCACTCTGAACAACAGGTATTAACCCTCAATTGTTAACTTTATATAAGCCGTTAATCATTTCAGTTAGTTTTATATTAATCACAAATAATGTTATGCCAACTCATTCAAATTTCCGACATAAAATATTACACATGTCATGCAATAATAAATAAATAAACAAAATTTAAATAAACAATTTATTTAAACCATTGTATGAAATAATGATTTAGATACAAAGAAAATAAACTATAATAACACTCATGCATTGATTTTTAATTTATTAGACTAGCACAATATTAAATAAACCACAATACGCCCATACATGGATTACTACTTTATAATATTTAATGAATTAGACCAACACAATAATTAATTTTTATCCAAATAATTAATTGAAATAATGATCTTAAACCTGATAAGAAATTTTCAAGTTATAACTTAGGTAAT